TTCAATATGTACGGTATAAATTTCACAGCGAAAACAAAATTTAATTTGTTAAATAGGTCCGGAATTTTGGTTGTTGAAATCTAGCATGCTTAGAGCACCCACATTGGAGACAAAATGTGGGTGTCTGTCTTTGAATATAAAATTATTAAAATTTAGGTAAAATGAAGAAAGAGAGTATTTTTGGTTAAAATAATGGGGTGTATTGAAATATAATATTAATAAAATTTGAGTAAGAGAGGAGATAGTGGATATTATTAGAGAGAGAATGTTTCTTGTGATGTTTTAGAAGACAAAGTTGGAGAGAAAATGAATGAAAATTGGGATGTGTTTAAATATAAAATTAATAAAAATTGAATAAAATAATAAAAAAAAATATAAAATTGAATTAAAAAATATATATATTTTTAATATTTGTTTATTTAGAGACGTACACTATCCAATCCGATGGTCTAATACAATTTCTACAGAGCTGAAAATTTTGAAAACCATCCTTTTCATCTCTCTCCGTTTTTATCTTTCCAGAGACTTATGTTATAGCTGATCAAATTATTGACTTTTCAAGTCTCCTAAGCACTTTTGACCCAAATTATTGACTTTTCAAGTCTCCTAAGCACTTTAGAGCATTATATATGGCATGCATTTACCCACAAGTCTCTTTCATTCATACTGAAGAATCCTTCAGCATAAAAGAAAATTCTTAGAAGTTGACTTAAAGGTGATCGCAACTTAGAATGACCTTAAACTTTTATCCTCTCATTCGTATCCAATTCTAGATTTAGAGCTCTTTATTGCTCTCTGTCTTTCTTATGTTACCAATTCCACTGGTCCTGTCATGGCAAACGAAACCAAAACAAAGAAGAAAAACTCCTTATGAACCAATTATGAATTCTCGAGCACTCATCAGATTCTCAAAACCCACTTCTTGTTTGGTCATCATATTCTGCTTTTTCTCTTTGCTGCACCACTGTGCTTCAGGTGAGCAAGAACTTGGGTTGTGTGATGATCTATATCAGTGTGGGGACATAATCGCCGGTTTTCCCTTCTGGGGTGGGGATCGTCCTGAACACTGCGGTCTTCCATTGCTAGAGCTTCACTGCCACAAAAACACCAGTACCTCTTTAATCATCTCAGACAAAGAGTATTCTGTTCTCCATGTAGATCAAACATCTTACACTCTTACACTTGCCAGAGCCGACCTGCTAGGGCCTTTTTGCTCCGCTAAATTCAATACCACAACCTTGCCTCCTGATATATTTGATGTTTTGCCAACCTACAAGAACCTCACAGTTTACCACCACTGCAATCCTCTATATTCTACTTCATATTACCTTTCGAATGTTACATGTGGTAATAAGGGTCTTATTTCAGTGTCCCAAAGACCTCAGAATCAATATACCTGTGAATGTTCCAATGAGTTTCAATCCAGAAGAGAAAGAGTTTGATTTGAACCAGTTGGAAAGTGTTCTAAGAAAAGGGTTTGAGGTAAAAGTGATGATCGATGAGATAACTTGTCAAGAATGTTTAGCCTCTGGTGGAATATGCAGCTTCAATGGTACCACACAAGTTTGCTGCAAGACAACGTCATCCTCCTCAAGAGTCACCTGCCTACCAAAGCCTCAACCTAGTGGTAAGTTTCTCATACACCAACCCTTAATCACTG